TTCCCATTGGGAGTCTACTTGAGCAATGGCCTGGATTATGTGCGATGTCATTCAACGGCCTCCTCAACGTATGTCTGATCCATTTCCATTAGAACTATTGTGGCTGAATTGTTCATTCAAAAGAAGTCTGTGCAGCCATTATGCATCCCTTGGTCTTCTCTTTTTTAGTTCCTTCACGTTCCCCAGTGGAACATAGGGCTTCAAGCTAATGGCATGAAGTTTCTGTAGCAGTGCTTATATTACAGGATGGGGTTACTAGCCTCATGCCCAACCTTTCCTCTTCACCAGCGTTATTTCTGGGTTAGCGAGGTAAAGGAATGCGTCGGCCGGAGATCAAACCCCGGACCATGTGCATGGTTGGCGAACGTCCTAACCACTATGCCACCGACGAGTTCACTACCACCCCTTACCTAAATTTTCACTCCCTCTTTTACCATCTTTTGATCTTATTGTATCTTCGTTAAAACATTTTTCATTTACTTCCCTTAAAATCTAGCATTACTTAATCGAACCATATGTTTTTCTTAGCCTTTATCGACTAATTCTACCCTTGTTTATTTGTTACAATGGTACAACAGTCGTCCCACTGTCGGAGTGTCCCAGGCATAGTAGCTTTTGCCCTTTTGGTTCTGTCCACTGATACTGCATTTTGACGTCTACTACATCCATCTCTGCATATGAATGGCTTCAACACGTTTCCTACTGTGGTCGTACAAAAACAACCATGTCTCTTACTAACTTTGTATTGTCTTTCCCACTTTGGAAGAGGTTTCTAAAAATCTAACTCGAATTCAGTTGTTTTCCTTCTTTCTTTACTTTTTTCTTCTCGAATCTTGCAACACCAACGTCATATTTATGTGCAGCACTTTTGGTTCCTTCTTTGCTTTCTATTTCGCATCTCTGTCCCACATTTAGTGCTCCGGACAGATCCTACTATGTATTGGTAGTCACTTGTTCTTTCCACACTTTAACTAAAACAGTAACTTCTTTGTTGTTACTTGGATGAAGGTAAGATGTGCTAATAAATTCAGCCTATCTCCTAGTTGCGTCTCTTTGATGTCTTTAACTCCTTCAATGTCAGTTTATTTCTCTCTGCCAAACCATTAGTTTATGGATGATATGGTGTTATTCTACGCTTCTAATATCTGGAGAATTCAAGCGGGATTTCATTTATTTGTTTTCAAAACAAGGACGCCTACCTGCCAATATCACCTTCGTTACGCCACAATGTGCAGAGGAGCACTGAGTAAATACCTCAGTCAGTGATCGCTATCACGTCTAAATATCATCATCACCAACTGAACTGACGGCAGCTAGATGTCTGCAAATAACTCCCCCTACATCCACTGACCACAAATTGTCCGCCGAGATGACTACAATCAACTACAGCGACAGTCGCATGCGCCTATCCCCCTTCATCAACTAAAGCCCACCCAGTGCATGTTTTGCAGCTACCGTCGTACTCGGGCAGCATGTGCAGCGACTCCGGAGGTCGTTTGATATGGCTACACCTTTAGATGCTATTCATTAGCACTGTCATCTCATAGCATGAGCACTTGAAAGTCACCTACAACCAGCTTCAATTGTTATCTTGCCAAGCCAAGGTTCTGTAAGCGTTCAGTCTTCATCCATCTATATACCTGATGAGCGGAACTAGATCCCCATTTTCCGCTGGTCGATTTACATTTATTCAGTTGGCAGTCGTCGTTATGAATAGTGTAGGATCTGACTTTCAACAGGAAGCTCATTTGAATGGGTCTTGTTTTAATTCGTGTACTCCAAATACAATCTCAGGCGATCTAGTTTCATTTTCTGGGCCAGATGAAAGGAACATTTACTATCAAGTTCCGGTAACAAATTCGGCTTCCCCGGAAAGTGTGAGATCTTGAAAACCTCACCTTTGCGGATGTGACATCCACCCAAACACTTTCCCTGCTGATCTCTCACTGCAGAAATTAATTAATTAATGACACATTGGAGCTGTTGTCTCGTGAATGTATTTGCGCAAATCAAATATAAGACTCAGCTCTCCCTATGAGCCACATCGGTCACAGTTCTCTCGCACTGATCCAGGATTACGACCACCAAAACTCTTCCAAAATATCGGGGTCATCTGAATGAAATTGTGAAGGTCGAAAAATATAAAATTATACGTTCACTGAGAAACAGTAAAGATAATGAATTCACTGCACATCATCGGTGTTGATTGTTATATTGAATAAGTTCACCGCACGAAACAACTTCCCTACTCCAGTTTCTTGCTTCCCACTATCACCAGTAATCTTTGGTCTGTACCTGATCCGTATGTCCATGCTTTTGATCCATTGATTCACTCTTATTTTCTCTTCGTAATTACCCTTGGGCTGTTGGCATACCCTTGCATAGAGTGAGCAGCTGCAGATCGTAAGGACTACGTCATTGCTTCAACTCTGTATATCTTTATTTGTGTATTTGGGAAAATTATAACTCATGAAATAACTGTATTTTATACAAACATTCTAGTTTGCATGGACTGAATCCCTCTCTGCGTACATATGTTTATTTTTATTTACATAAGACTATAAATACTTTATCACAGGTTTGTATTTATTTCGTTATTTTCCTCCACGTATAAACGAGCATATCCGGTTAGTCCGCAACAAAGTATCATAGGAGATTTAGTGGGTTTCGATTATTCACTGATACCCAGGAAATATAAGAGGGGGCTAAGTTCTTATTGGGTACTCCTAAGTTCCATGTTTGGGAATAGATTCTAGGATTGTTCTGAAGGAATGAAGACTAGACATAGTGAGGATTTCACCTGAGATTGACGAACTACTGAGGAAGCTTGGTTTCGGGATATGATGTGCGGCTTTTTGTCCTCCGAAGTTCTAACAGGAAAAACATATTCCAGCAACTATGTTCTTACCTTAGCAGTCCACAAACATCCCGGTTTATCCATGGCTGGGTGGCAATGTTTTCGGTGCCTATGGAGTGTGACGTCGTGTGGCCTTGGTGCATAGTTAATTGAATTGGGCCCTCATTGGTTCTACTTCGGCTTCGATGTTTCCGCTTCAGCTGTCTAGGCATGCTGCATAATTGATGGTAATCATGCCAACCATTCAAATGCTTTTGTAGCTGGGATCTTAGCCCAGGATATTGTGGAGGCTATGAACTTAAATGTTAGGGCAACATGATAAAATCTTTCTCAAAGTGGAAGATATTATATGAAACTCACATCCTAACTAGGACGGAAAACCGAGTGCAACGTTGAACTGTGGGTTCTGAGAATCTTAGCTCATGAGGTTCCTGATGTGGTTGACTAGGAGCAGGGGAACGTAGAATTATATTGGATTATATTCAAAGAGACTGTTCAGTTATGTCGTTCTAAGGTTTGTTCAGTTAACAAATGAGGTGCGCGGATTGCTGTCTACCATGCGACAGCAGTGATTTCTGATAAGCTAGTTTCTCCAAGAAATTGTCATCTTATTTTCTTAATTCTGATTATAGCTTGAAACCACACAATGTTTTTGGCACAAATATGAAAATTTCAGCATGTGATATGAGTAGCCCAAATTTTGCAGGCCAACCACTGATATCAGGTGTACGTTGGCAGGGAATCGAAATCTGGACCATGTGCATGGTCGGCGAGAGTCCTGCCTGCTATACCACCAACGCACCTCCGTATTAACTCTAACTGTATGCTCAAGAAACGAACTTATGTATGCACATTATGCGTTTAAAGAAACTAAGTTTACATATGCTTGTCGCATATTTGCCAATGTATTGTTGGAAACTGGTTCTCGTCCATTACACACTCATTTATGTGCGGTTTTCGAAATTTGATTTCATTAATAATACATCTTTTTGAGTTTCAGCTGTGCTTTTTAATACAACGTTGTTAGTCTTTGAACATGTACAGCATCAACACAGTGTAGGACGTGAAAACATCGACGTACAATAGTATTATAACCGTTATCATATTAAGTAACCCACAATCTCTTCAATCGAGGTTTTGATATATTACTGCTCGATGATAGAAAATCAAAGTGATATGATCAGAGTATTGGTATATATTAAGTCAGTCTCTATTTGTAGACATTTAGTGTTTCTACAATAAACAAATGTGAACAAGATGATCAAGCAGATGTATGATTAGTAAGTCTTCGACATCCGGACAGTCTTTTGATATCACCAGCACTGAAGTTGAATTAGTTATTATAAGTGAATAGTATTCTTAGTTCTGGGGAGTGGCTTTCCGGCAGTAGCAATCATTCCTGATAGTATTATTGATGGCAATCATGTTGTAGCCTAGATTTGGAGACTGACACACCTGACTTCTCCACCTAAGTGAAAACGGTCAGCTGGTTCGTGAGATCTGGTTTCCTGCAGTTGTTGTTCGTGCTTCGAATCATCCTTTTCTTGTTTGGGGTTCCCTGCCGAATGGCCATCCAGACTACAGTCCAATATTATGACAAGTCTAGTTACACGCTGTGAACTGCGTATCACCAACTCTAACCACTATTTAAAGAAGACCATGATTAGGTAGGGTATATCTGATAAGATTTTTACAGTCGGCTCATGTACACCATTTGCTGGGTGGGTAAACATCATTGTAAACTGGAGACCAAGGTTAACACGCTATCGACAATAGTGAAGAGGGTAATCCCTGAAGATGTTTCACAGCTTTCCTACATTCTTGATACCGCTTATATTAAACTGAGAGACTTTATGAACTGTATGATAGGATTTCTGGTGTGAACTGTAGCCCAAAGGGCTTCGATATTACTCTGAGCTACTTGTGCAGTAAGTGCTTCCCGTCATCACTCAAGGAATTACCACTAGTGAACGCATGTGGAGAATCTCAGCTCAGACGAATACTTGTCCAGAGGCTCGATATATTCTAGATGCCACTTATAAAAAATTATCAAGTAACATTTCGCTCTAAACATGACTCAGCTCGAACATAACGTCACATTTGCAAATTCACAATTTTGGTTATAATATACGCGTGTCCTTTGGTGACCTTGCGGTGGTTTTCAAAAAGTTGGTCAATCTTGGTCTCGTCCGCCGATGTAAGGCATGTTTCTAAATTATTCGGATACACTAGCCTATGAACAAAATAAGATTTTTAAAAACAGCTGTCGTGTTTTAGAATGGCCTAGAAACATGCCTTATGCAGTTACTACATGACTGGTATTCAGGTATATTTGTTCGCTACTTAAATCGGTGGTTTGATGAAGCAGTCAGATTAACAAAAGTGCTACGGGACTAATGTAAGTGCAAGTCAGTTATCTTGTGGATTTGGTTATTAATATTTTGGTTCAGGATAATAGGCTTCAAGCTTATCCCAACCTTACAATAACTCTAAACTAATTCCAACCTATGCATCGATAATAGTTTTTATAGTAAATGGAAATTTCGTGTACTGAAATAACTCTGGCTGTTCTTATAGGGAGCACTGGACGCTTAATTAATGCAACAAAAGCTTAAAAGTAGTGTTTGCGGCTGATATAAGGCTGAAAATTACCACTATGCACTGAACTCAGTCATTTTGCTCTGAAGTAATATCAGTCAGCGCTGAATGTAAACGTGGGGGGGGGGGGCTGAAACAAGGCTGAACCCTGTACGATCTGGGTCACTTCTAAAAACGCTTAGAAAAACCACAGGGTATTGAACTAGTGCCAGTCATGCTGAAAACCAGCACTGAGTTCTTGTTTGTGAACAGACAATTTCAAAAAGATTTCAGAATTTACACATTATGGAATATTAGAGTTAGTTCAGAATTAGCGAAACTTAATTGAGCATTGTAGTAAGCTTGGGAAGGATCAGATACTAACCATTATAAAGTTGAATTAATCTAAATGCAATGAGAGGAAACACGCATTTCAGAATCCAACACAAGGCCACCTTGTAATCTCTACTCATATGAGTATGTCATATGACATACCTTGTGAGTGCAAAAGGATGTGACCTTTTTCAATTGTATGGTTTATTAAATTTTATATATGATTAAGTGCGATTCCAGTGTTTGACGCTGACTGTGTTTAATATTTACATCACTTGCATGCCCAGTATGCTGAATTTCCTTATTTCCATACTCAGTGTACATTGCACGGTCGCCAACAACAGTAAGGTTTAAGTAACAGCCCCTTAGTATTGTTTTGAGAATAAAGGTGGTTCATGATTAAGTACCCAGATAAAGAGTTTGATTTTAGAATTGGACTTTTGTAATTAGATAGTTCCATCATTTTTAACGTACAATTATTGCATCCTTTAACTCAGTACTTATAAGGAACTCTACCAGATATCAATTCACTTCATTGTATTTGTGTCAATACAATTTTAGAATAACTCAATGGCTAGTTATTCAACAATACATCAGTGTCGATCCAAGCTCATTATATTTCCTAGTACTTCGGTTCTCCTATGAATCCTATGAAATAAAAGGAAGTATTATGCAAATTTGCATGTTGTTGTGTATTAGTTTTATGATGAGGCTTGCAAAATGTTAATACACGCAAGTCAGGGTAATTTTTCTGATCGTTTAGCCTAGGTAGAAAGTGTTTTGTTTAACAAAGATGTAGTTTTTATTCAATTAGCAGGTATGCATTGGGCCTTATTGACATTTGTTTCGCAACTGTTATCTGGTTCAAATAATTGTGGAATTGTCTAGTAAACTCCACTAGCTGCTACACGTCACACTACTTAATAACGTCTTCACATTCCGTTGTCACTCAGCAGTTGCTTCTGTCATTAATCTCTTCCTAACTTATAAAGAAATGTGTAGAAGTATTTAGAGCCGTATTCCTATCTTATATTCACAGTTGTCAACTTTGCCAAGAGCAGTTGTGTCCTGTAATAACATGAGTATATGTTTTCAAAAAAAATATTACAAAATGAAGATTTCATCTTGCTTGTTAATTTATTTTCTCGCTATGCACAGTTATTACCATTGCTGTAGATCTGAGGAAAAAACGCAAATTATCAAAGTAATAGAAAGTGTTGGAATCAGTTGCAGCTTCAATTAATTCTTCAATAGATATGAACCTACGAACCTCTCAGACCGATGATGAAAAAGAAACTTACTCCTTGTATGAAGAAGGGTATTTATCACGTCGGAAAGATACTGATTACAGAATCTATATTCCGCCAAGTCAGAGAGATTGTATGGAGAAATACTATCCTCCTACTTCTGTAACTCCTTGTGTTATCTATGATTACAGTCGTCAGCCCCCAGCAGACACTTCACACGGACACAGGTCTTATCTACAAGGTAAGCAACATTCAAATATCACGACAAAAAATCTCTCGAATTATTTAGGAAGTAATAAGTCCGTAACTGAAAAGCAGGATAGAAATATATCAAATTCCTCTGAGATGTACATAACTAACATTCCTCGTCTAACTCCGCCTGCGTTGCTACCCACTCCTTCTACACAACCTCTTAAGGTGTTTGATGTTTCAACTTCTCGTTATCATCACCAAAGTACTGCGCCAAAATGACTTTGTTAAGATTTCTTGGGTGTTGTCTTCCATCCATATCAGTTTTCTTCAGTGAAATTCAATTATAACTGTTCTACTGTGCATTCTCTTTCTGTTGCCATGTCAATATTAGGTTTTTAATATTGATCTGCCCAAAATACAAATTTCAAAGATTTAATCTACTTTTATATAGCTTTTGTTGTTTTTCTCTTTTTGTACACAAATATTTTTGAAATATTAACCTTTAGTATATTGAAGTCTTATCTTCTATTGTTTTAAGCGCTTAAAACTAACTTTTCGTTATGAGAATTAAGTGCGCTTGTTGTCTGTATATATTTCGAGATGAATGATGTACTTATGTAGAGACATGATGAGATTAAGTAATTTACTTATTTATTTGAAGCAATTCATTTTTGAATATATTTAATATGTTGTACGTGTTAAAAAAGTTGGACACAGTTCATTGTCGTAGGCCCTCGATTTTCAGCCTATCAGTCATGACTCCAAGTTAGGCTCCACATATTTTATGCCTGGGCAACTGAGTGATATCACAGGCCCTCATATAACAAGGGTGGTTCTTAGCCAAGTACATGAGAAATTTGTTCCAGATGATTGAGGTGAGACGCGTGTTAGCATTCAGATACTCTGAATAAAGTTTTGATGAACTAGTTTGGGAGCCACATTCATTGTGTGAGTAAGCTGATGATACTACTCAGATGGCCAGGCGGAAATAGGTAGAGCGGGAGTCTAGCCTAACCCCAATTACCTGTTATACATGGGCAAAAACGTCACACCTATAAACATCAATATAATTCATTTGAAGAAGAAGATGAAGAGATTGTCTGTTTTTGACCACAGATGTTTACGATCTCTTTCTCGCGTTAGGTGGTATAATAAGGTAAGTAATGTTGACGTTAGGCGTAGAGTGTTGGGCAAAGAGGGAAAATCAATCGAAAGGCTATAAAGTTACATGGATTGAGATGGCTAGGTGACGTGCTGTGCATGCCTAGCCATCGCCTCCCCCGACGGACGGGCATTACTAGCTGATATAGGTGCAGGTTGGAAAAGAGTAAGCGGTGGCCAAACAAAAACATGACATCAATCCATGAAATCCTTGACAGTTAAATTGAGTCAGGTAGGGAGATGCAGACTTCCGGGTTGGGGCCTGCCCTCGGGACTCTAAGAATCAATGGCTGGAGACACTAGGTGACATGGCTCAAAATCGTTGTCAATGGCGCAGATGTATTCAGTCTCTTTAACCTTCATATTCCTTTCTACCATTACTCATTCTGTTTCACTCTAATACTTGTCTAAATTCTATTGATTCTCTTCACTCATCTTCTTGTCTACCTTTGTGTGGTATTTGGAACGTGGCAACTGGAACTGCTGCACTTCGGTGCCAAGTTCTATGTTGAATCCAGCAGCAGCAGCAACATCAATATAATGGTTGACGAGTCACATAAGGAGTGTGTATTTTATCATGTCATGTGTTAAGGACGTTAAGTTAGTAATTCAAAGCACTTTTTTCCAAAAACTGACTTTGGTGAAGACAGTTTGTGACGATGGATTGGGGACGTTTTTCGAACCAGGGGAAAGTTAGGAAGTGTTACTCAACAACCAGTCACTTCCATTTTCACTCATTTGGTAACCAGTCAAACCTATTGTATGTGTGTGTAGGCCAGTGATATTACGTGGCCTACCAAACCTCTGTGCGACAGGTGTAGCCCGCTGGGTAGGAGAGCGTAACTCAGTGGTTGGAAGTTAAGCGTGTAGAACAATGGATTATAGCTTCACTGTAAAAAGTAAAATTAGCCTGATAGACATTCTCTAAAGTGTAAAGCTTGCTAACATTTCTTTTAAATTCTGTAGACTAAAAGTTACATCAATGAAGGTTTATAAATCCTAAGAATTATAAGATTTACAAAAGTGATAAACTAGTTTGTAAATATTGTAAGAGCCAGAGGTGGGAAGATGTGTCTCATTCGTTACAGCACTTCCAGCTAATGAGTCCCAGGTTCAAATCCCACCCTGCCTACTTCAACTTAGGCATCTGGTTAGTATAATCAGCCGCCACAAACCAAGTGTGGCTCGTGGCTTAGTACTTAAAAAATCTATTCTAGGTGGCTGAGTTCTAACAGAAAGACTAAATATTACGTGCAAGCATATTACGACTTGTTTCAATTTCGTTACATTCTATATACATTCAGGTCAGTTTAACAACTGGTATTGTTTAGCGGGGGCGAGGAGCAAGTAGGACGCATCAAAATGTGCTTTTTCTAATAAATTAGCCCATGATCTTGAGGTATTTGGTCTTAGTAATGTCAAGTGTTTTGGCGTATTTGTGTTCTTAGGGGCCTATAGCTCGTTGGTCTAGACTCTACTTTCAACTACTAGGTCATGGATTCTAACCCCGCCTTCTTCACCCAATCAACATTCGGTTAGTCGAGTAGTATCTATAACCCTTATATGAAAAGTGTGGCTTGTTGCCAAACTGTACATCATTATTCTCCTGGGTTCTGAGTGAAACATACAGCTTCAGTAGCACATCTGCATTTCAGTCTTTTCTGTGCAATCCTTTGTAGCTGTCTCCACAACTTCGCATAAGCTTCCATCTCTTCACCCTATCTCTAAGTCACTTTCGGACGCTGAACTCATCGCCTTCCATTGGAATTTCACTCTAGGGCCTGGCGCGTGATATCAGTCAGCGGTGTCCTCGGTGGGTATCTAGTCCATCTCCATTTTCTCCTGCATATTTATTGAGCGGTCAGCTCTTGGTTGGTTCGTTGTAGTGTAGAATTCCTTGTTGCGTATGCTTTCTCGTCATCCGATCTTCATTATATAGCAGAGGAAGTTGTTGGTGAAAGTCTGCAGTCGTTCGTTGGAAATGCTTTTAGTGACGTGTGAGACAAGTCTCTGAACCACATAGAAGCACTGACTGATTTGATGTTATTTTTGAAAATCCAGATATTGTTCATTTTTCTGAGTACAGTAGAATCCCACACTGATTTGACTCTAGCGTCTTGCTTTTCCAACTCTGCCTGTGGTATCCTTATCCATGTTGTCTAGTTATAGGAAGGTGGTTCTCTGTAGATTTTTTTCCCGTTGATAGGGATTGACACTTGTTGCTGCTGGTTAGATATCTTCATCACCTCTGTCTCCTCTATATTTACTTGAGATTCTGTCTTTACTGCCTGCGTCTTCTGCCACCCCGTTGGTTTTCGCCTGTAGATCTTCCGGTTTGTGTGACATTAGACATAAATCACCTGCGAAGTCCAGATGTTTTAGAGTCTCCCTGTCGGTCCAATGTATGTCCGTCTTCTCGCTGTATATGGTCTGTTGAATCACCCAGTCCACCACAGCTAGAAATATCATAGGGTGATATTAGGCAGCCTTGTCCTACTGCTGTCTTCATTTATGTGAAGCAAATTAATTATTTTTCGAAAGTAACTATCTTACGTCTGTCAATGCGGAAAATGCGACATTGTGGAAATCTGTAAAGTAGTTAGTGCCCTCATTCCTCGAAAAGATGTACAGTGAAACATGTGCAAATAAGTTTAACATGTGAATAGAGCAAAAACAGCGGTGTGTGCAGAATAAGTTAGTGCCATCGTCTATCTATTTGGTTCCTCCTGTCAGTTGACGGGAAACTCCAAACCAACATCATGTAACATTTGCAAGTATGTTAAAATTGTTCTGTATATTAGCTTAATAATCCGTTTAGGCTGTACGCAGATGATGACAAGCCTAAGGAACAAATGTCTGACGCATTTAGTTGGTGTGTGGTTAGAATTTACCTACTTGTGAGAGAGGGTTTCTGCTTGTACAAGGCTATGTGTGAGGTTTATTTTGTGAGGGCTATTATTGTTCCTATTACTGTTTAAGCACTAACTTGGTACAAGAAAGGGAGAGAGATGCTGCATGCACACTGTGAAGAGTATAGACACTGCTACTCAGTTGCCTTGGCTAATTATTTGCAGAATTTGATTATAACCTGGTACTCGAGTGCTTAAGCCAGTATGCTGTATCCTTGATGTGTTTTTAAAGCTTTTGTTTGCGTAACTGATATTTTGACTCTGCAAAATGCCTTATAATAACCAAAAGAGAATAGTCAAAACAGTATTAGAGATGTAAAAGCCGGAAAAGTCACTCAGAGTAAGTGGACTTTCGACTTCACCTCTGTATTTATTATTATTATTCCCTTAGGTTCCTGTGTAGGACTTTAACAACGCATCTGCATTTCATCTTGTTGTTTGTAGTCCTTTTTAGCTGTCTCTGCGGTCACCCATGAGCTTTTATCTCCTCTCATGGTCTAGTCCACGTCACCCTCGGATGCATGCCCAACTTGTCGCTTCCCATTCGCATTCCACCTTGGGGCCTTGCTAGCGCACTTGATGGTCTCCTTAGAGTTTGTCCAATCCATCTCTGTCTTCTTTTTTATATTTCTTGGGCAATAAGTTCTTGGTTGGTTGATTGCCAGAGTCCCTTGTTGCTTTTCCTTTCCGACTGGCCATCTGATCTTCAGTGTTAATGTATAAGAAATGTCTATTGTTGAGCACTGTAACTCTGATTTATAAATCTTTAAATATTCCCATTATTAATATATTAGAACAAGGCATATAAGCGAACTATATTTCTGTTTTCAATTAGATCTTCAGGCTTTACTCTAATTTACATAGATTTATATATAAAAATTTTAACCAGTGACAGTGATTTTGTTACTGTTTGTCACAAATTGACAAGGTTTCTAAAATACTGATCATGTTAACTAACCCAAAAACTCAATGGTCATCGGATTACAGCAGTGTTAAAGTAAAGTGCAAAAGATATCGATCGCCACCCCTTGGTTTATCAACATATGTACTCGGCTTTCCACTAAATTAGTCTTAGGTTTGAATCTTAACCCATCTATTTCAGTCTTTGCGACAAGTGTCGCCAACCTTCACACAGTAATAAGTATGTTTTACGTCTTGGTACATGTGAAATATGCTCTAGGGAACTGAGTATCATAGTGATAGTGATACAGACTATGGATTAACCTTGCATTTGTTATTGTTACTATTACCATGGTTATATTGATTGTATATCAATGTGTATATTGGATACATTACACAATGAAACGATATCATGTATTCAATAACATTTCGAACAGAATTTATTGTTTATAATCGTATAAATTGTAACTACATAACTTATTATTATTATTGTTCCCTTTAATTCCTAGAGGAAAGTGGGGCTTCAGCCGTCCGTCTCCATTGCGTTCGGTTCTCTGCTAGAGTTTTCACCTGGCTCCAAGTCTACCCACACGTTTTCATCTCCTCTTCACATGACCTCCTCCAAGTCACCCTTGCACTGACGACCAACTCGTTGATTCCCTTTCGGTTTTCACTCGAGCAATGGCTTGTCTAGTGATGTAACTTGATGGTTTCCTAAGAGTATGGCCAATCCATCTCCACGTCTTCCTGCCTATTTGTTGCACAATGGGTTCTTGGTTGGTTGGTTCATTCCCAGAGATCCATGTTGCTGATCTTTTCTGGCCATCTGATCTTGGGTATTGAGCGAAGACAGCTGTTAATGAAGACATGTAGTTTGTTTGCGGTGCTCTTTATGACGCGCCAAGTCTCTGATCCGTATAGTAAGTAGCACTAACTTCACATTGGAGTTGAAAATCCGGATCTTATTTTTGATGTTGAGTGCTGTTGACCTCCACACAGACTTGAGAGTAATGAAAGCTTGTCTTGCTTTCCCGATCCTTGCTTTGACATCCTCGTCAGTTCCGCCTGTAGTTGAAACGATGTTTTTTTCAGGTTCCTTTCATTTATGCTGATAGTTGTCTTTTATTGTTGCAGTGACTGTTGCTGTTGGCCAGGAATCTTCATCACCACATCGGTTTTCTCTATGTTCACTTGAAGTCCTATGTTTGATGCTTCTTCTGCCAACTTGTTGCTTTTCACTTGCATATCTTTCAGTTGGTGGGATATCAGACATATATCATCGGCGAAGTCCAGATCCTCCAGGTTTTTCGTAAGGGTCTATTTTATGCCTGTTTTCTCACTGCCCACTGTTTGTCGCATTATCCAATCTACTGCAATCAGGAAAAGCATTGGTGATGGTAGGCAGCCTTGTTTTACTCCCGTCTTCATTTCGAAGGATTCCGTAAGTTTCCCGTTGTGGATTACTTGGCATGCAGCATTGTCATACAGCTGTTGGATGAGATGTATAATTGTCGGTGGCACCCTATAGTAGCGTAGTAGTTGCCAAAGCACTTCTCGATCGACGCTGTCGAATGCCTTTTCAAAGTCGATGAAGTTGAGATAGAGAGATGACTGGCTTTCCAAGCTTTGTTCAATGATGATCCGTAATGTGGCGATCTGATCAATGCATGACTTGTTTCTCCTGAATCCAGCCTGTTCCGGTCGAAGTTTTTCATCCAGGTTGGCATGTTTGATTCTCTCCAGGATGATGCGGCTTAGTATTTTTCTCGGGATGGACAGGAGCATAATTCCGCGCCAGTTCTTACATTGACTTAGGTCTCCTTTCTTTGGTAGTTTGAATAAGTATCCTTTCTTCCAATCCTCGGGTACTTTGCCTTCTTTCCACACTTTCTCCAGTAGTGGCGTCATCAAGTCCGCTGTTGTCTCCGGGTCCGTTTTCAATGCTTCTGCTGGGATTACATCTGGTCCTGCTGCTTTTCCAGCTTTTAGAATCTTGATTGCCTTCAGGACTTCTGATTTCGTCGGGGGGTCGGTGTTCACTGGTAGCTCTGTCTCCGTTGTTGGTATTGTTGGGCGCGTTGTAGGTGGTGGTCGATTTAGGAGTCTTTTAGAGTGTTCAGCCCAGTGTTTCCTTTGCTCCCCTTCTTAGGTGCGTAACTTTCCATTGTCATCCTTCACTGGCTTAATTTGTGTCAAACTTTTGGCCGTTAGTTACCTATTTATTTGGTAAAGTATTGCGAGGATCTCGGTTTTTTGTTACAATCTCTTCTGCCTTTTCCCATATCTTGCAAAGGTAGGATTTTCCAGGTATCCGGGATAGTCATTGAATCATTCCTATTGCAAGTAAAGCTTCAGTTATCAGTCTTTTCTTCCACCCTGTTCTATTGGTTTTGAAGACCGAGTTTCAAAGCTATGTGTTTACAATTGGTATGATTATTTAAACATTAAATTGTGTTCGAAACGTTATTGATGTAATCCAAGTATATGTAGACCTGATTTTGTTTTAAAATATTGTAACCTGTGATTTTCTTTTTTATAAACAGGCTGCTAACAGGCTATCATCTGATATCTGTACAGATGAAAATACGAAACCCGGTTCATCTAATCAATCCTGTGGAAAGAACAAACGTCCAAGATCATTATTGAATTATTGGAAAAGTATGTAACCCATTTGAATTTCCTGCCTATTGTCTCTTTTCTTTTTCGAAAATATTCTGTATTAGTTGATGATTGAAAATGAACTTCATACCATTGGGTTCCCTTGATAAATTTCGATAAAAAAAGGAAGACGAAATTTGCAGTATAAAATGATATCATTCTATTTCACAGGTTCTCATCAGCTGCAGACTACCTGAAATTACAATGGTTATATAAATGATAATAACATACTTTAGTGTTTGAGTGGTAGTAGAGAAGAGATACTATAAAATTGACGCATCCAAAATGAAAGAAGCATTACAATTTTTAGTTTAAGTTATCATCACTCCTTCTATAATCCACTCAAAACTGGATGAATACCCTGCTGATGTCACCTCCAACTGCGTTTATGAATTTACGTGCACTTGCGGGAGCAAGTACATTCGAAGGACAGAAAGAAGGCCTTCTATCCGGTTTTCTGAACATATTCCAAGAAACCTATGCCTGAAAGGAGGCAAATATTCTCACAGTGCAATTACCAGACATATTGTTGATACCGGACATCTCGTAGAGATCTCTAAGTCCTTCAAAATATTAAATAGACAAAGGACAGCAAATTTACTACGATTTGCCGAAGCGATCGCAATCAAACGATTTAAACCAGACTAATGCATTCAGAAAGAGAATCTGATTAACCTCTCACTCCCTTGGTAACTGAATTTTGATTTTGATTGGTCATCTAATTCAGTGATCTTAACTCACTGAACAAATCTTAATCTCATAAACTGTAACCGCCTTTGTTTTTTCTTTTTATTTGGAGTTGCTATGTGAACCTACAAGCTAACACTGTTTCTGTTAATCAATTTTTCTGTTTTCTGTCTCACCTCTCCCCCCTCTTTTCAACTTTAAAAGTGTATAAATTGATGATGATAACTTAAACTAAAAATTGTAATGCTATCATTCTTTTTTGGATGCGTTAATTTTATCTCTTCTATACTACTACTCAAACATTAAAGTATGTTATTATCATTTATATAACCATTGTAATTTCAGGTAATCTGCAGCTGATGAGAACCTGTGAAATAGAATGATATCATTTTATACTGCAAATTTCGTCTTCCTTTCTTTATCGAGATTGAATCGTCATTTCGCTTCAATCATCTCGAGTAGTAAAATGTTCAGCTGTCATGTGAATAACTGTTACGTGTTACTGTCCGTTCATGGGATCACACTAATATAAGAAATAATGAGGTTAAGCGTTGAGTGTTAGGTAAAGAGGGAAAATCAGTTGATGGGGTTGTGAAGCGGCGTGAATCAAGATGACTAGGACACGTGTTACGCATGCCAAGCCCTTGGCTTCGTCTTCGATCAATGTTAAGTGAGATCGAATTAGGTGGAGAAACAGTTAAGAGTGAAGAAATCAAACGATGGCATCAGGATATAAAGTGTCTGTGGCTGTCGAGATTCACTGACTGAAGACTTTTAGTGACATGGCTCAAAATCATTCACACTGGTACAGATTCATCCACTTTCTGTCGGCGCCTAGGTCCTTTAAACTCTCCCTATTCTTCACTTAGTTATTCTTCCCCCCGCACTTTACCATCTATCATCGTTCCTTGAAAGCTTTTCCTGTACTTTTGTGTGATATATGGAGTCTGTCAACTTGAAGTATTGTACTTTTGTGCAAAGTTCCTTGTTGGAAGTTCAGTCAGTCATACTACGTGGCCAGATAGATTTTCTTCTGCCGAACTGATAATTATGTGGATCTCATTCAAGTGACCGCTGGACAGTACAGTGCTTGTTCATGTGGTGGTTGTTGAAGTGAAAAAATTAAATTTCTACTAAAATTAGGAGATAAAAATTTAAATATATACTCACAATTTAGTCAACTAGTGGAATACTGGACTAGTAATTTGGTGGTTACTGTGTTGTTTGAATGCTACCACGATGCAGATTTTCATTTTATGAATTCAATTTACTTTGTCTAACTCGATCTAAACAGCCTTGAAAGTTTTCTCAGTTGACTGGCTTACCCAGTTTCAAGATGGAAGTTTGCGCAGAAGTGCACCAATTCAAGTTACCATACTCCATCTAGCACAACTAGGCTAGAGAAAAAGGAGATTCAAAGGAGAACTTTAATAGACAGAAATGTCAGGGAGAAATAACAGTAACATGGAAAACTTGAGGGTTTTTATAACTATAGAAGATTACAATGCGAGAATGCATCTGTGCCAGTGAGGAGGATTTAGAACCTTATTACCAGTAGTCTCCAGCTATTGGTTCTTGGTCTATCGAGGACCGTAACCAGACACAGCCTACACCTCCCTATGTGACTGGCTCAGACCGACTGTCAAAGACTTGATGGGACGATGTTGGGTTTTGTTTTGACCACGGCTAACTCTTTTCCAACCTAGTCCGATGTCAGCTATCATTGCTCGTCGAGGAAGGAGGTGGCTCAGCGGGTGCCCAAGACATTTTAGTCGGTGTTGCCTCACTACCTCGTCGATTGACTTTTCCTCCTTACCTTACTGTCTGTTTGATTGAATTTTAGATTTTTCCCGTCGATTGATTGGACCGAAGTGCTCGGTCTCAGGTTGACATGTCGGCTTCCTGTGCAGATGCTTCGACGATGTCAGGGCATGTAATTAGAATTTAATTGGTGGATGGTGACTGGCAGTTTGAAATTATGGGCACTGGGTTCGAGCCTCGGTGGGAAAATCATCAGTCACTGGGGAATGTACATCCATGACGAGTCCCAAATAGGACGAAATGCGTATCCTGGATTCAAGTGCTAGTCACCATCCACCAATTAAATTCTTACTGTCTATTGCTTACGTCAACATTACTTAATATGTTATACCACTTAAGATGGGAGGTAGACGGCAAGTATCTGTGGTCGAAAAGAGCCAGCCTTTTCATATCTCCCACTTTCAATAGTCATTATCTCATACCCGTAAAGAGGGACAGTAATCTCGTACTCACGTCACGTAAGTGAAGTATGAACTCATGAATATCGATTGGTGGTGTCGTGTACTTTCTCCATGTCATCAATATTTTCTATCAATAAATTTTGAAAAGGTATTTTTTAAGTCCCATTGATTAATTCTAGCAATATTCCTATTATGAATACATCTTTTTTAAGGTTTTGATCCTGATCTACTTCGTCCTCATGGTCGTGGTTACCATCTGCGTAAACAACGTATTTTCAGTCCTATGGCTAGACTATGGAAAGCTATGCAACAACAAAGTCTGGTACACGTAATGACAAGGGGTTTAAGAGAGCCCAGGGCTTTGTTAATCGGAAATCTGATCGCTTTTGATCGTTACTGGAATTTGGTAGGTTTTTTCATCATTAACTTTGTTACTTGGTTGATGATAGTGGTTATGATATTGAAACCTGATTATTTCGCAATACAATTGCAATTTTGCGGTAGGATAAGAACACTGAAGCTGGTGACAGACGCACTGATCATGAATACCGCTTGGCTAAGCCAACAATATTATATGTCAGCTACCTGATTTCCCTGCCTTCCCTACTTAGGCGAGAACACACAAAGACGATACGGAAAGTACAGTGTATTTATAAAAGAAATGGCTATATATACCTGGAAGGTCTGGATCATTTGTGGCCTCCTCTCCATCAGAGCGTAAGAAGCTGTGGCACGCATGAGAATATGTTGTGTTATTCGAGACTGGAGAGTTTGGCTTCACATTGTGGTGGTTAAGCACGGGGCACAGGTCTCTTTGATCGGGAAGCAGGCGTAGCGCCATCTTGGGGAAGTAGAATTCAAACGCTGACGAAGATTTTGGTGGAAATGTGCTGATTGAGAACGGCATCTGTAGTGACTTGTCTGGGACAGCCGTTTTGTGAGTTGTTGGCTAAAACCATCTTTGTGTCGAACACTCTTCCAGTCTTGGCGCACCGGTGTTGCTTATACGAAACGCCAAGCTCCAATATGCTAGCAGCGTGATGGGGGTCTCATCTTTGCTATTGTTTGAGTTACTGGGACGACGGACGTTTGAGGTGAGACCACGGAGTGTGGGGCTAGAGGTTGATGCAGAGGTTCTTAGAGGTATGGTGAACTGCACTCGTTTTAGGACCACCCTGGCTCGCTCTGCTTAAGCGAGAACGCCCACAGACGAAACGGAAAGTAAAGTATATTTACAAAAGAAAACAATCCATCGTCCATTTGCCTATATATCAGGTTATCAGTGGAATTTAAGATTCGCGTTTCGTTCTACTTGAGACTCATCAGTTGGATGCAGCTTCTAATTATATATAATCCCAATGTTACGTTATGTGTCGATTATCGTATCCAAATTATCACATTTATATGACAGATGGTGACTGGTAGTAAAAGCTTAGACCTCCCTTTCGACCCATTTAGGCGTCGTCAGTTGCTTTAACTTATAAACCTCGTTGAATGATGCTTTTCCCACTGAAACTCGAATCCAACCTTTCAAACAATAAAGCGTTATCCACCAGGCTACACGGAACCACGTAAGCCAGTGACCTCTTGTGAAACCGGGTATCATTGAAGCCCCCATTGAACCTAAATGATTGGCTAAATGATGGTTACCTGTCAAGTAACATGAGTTGCAGTCGTAAGGATCTCATTATTAAGGCAATCTATCCTTTCTAGTGGCTCGCCACTATTGTTAACAGTGACAAATCATTTCATTCCAATGTAAGAAAAGACAAGACGACGGGAAATTCACCGGCATCAATCAATAAATGATATAATTTATTTTTCAAGAGTTTGTTTTGAAGTTTGACCATGGATTGATATCAGTTAGAGAGAGAGAACCATTATGGAGAACTGGACAGCTGTTTTGTCCTAGTTTTAAACTCATTGGTAGTACTCACTCACCGCCAGGGTTCGAACCTAGGACCTCTCAGTTACAAGGCAAGCCGGTAGACCTATCAGCTACTGGAACCCTACTCATTGGCCACCGCAGGAACTCTAACTCCCTGGTTTTCAATGGTTCTCTAACTGATATTAGTCTGTGGTTAAAGATATATTTATTGTTTATTTTAACGGCTGTTTCACTTTATAACCTACATGTTGGGATAGGTGATAAGATAACCAACTAGTTGATTCATCGACTCTTCTCGCGGTGCTTAATATCTACTAATAAAAGTGGTATATATTCATGTGGTTATAAACTGGCATCCTTGTTAGAATAATTATTATTATAATGCACGTCGGTGGCACAGTGGCAGAATATTCGCCAACCACGCATGTGGTCCGGGGTTCGAACCCCGGCCGACGCACTCCTTCGCCTCGCTAAGCCAGTAATAAGACTGGTAAAGAAGAAAGGTTAAGCATAAGGCTAGCAACGCCATCCCGTAAAAATAAAACACCACTGCTACCGAAACTTCAAGCCTCTAACTTGAAGCCCTATGTTCCAGCACTGGGAACGTAAAGGAATAAAAAAAGACGGATGATGACTCATTTAGTGTTTATGGCTTTCATGAAATATAGGTAAATTGAGCAAAGAAATGTTCAGTTTTTCAATAGCTCAATGGGTCTACTCTAATATGTATATTTATACATACACTATTTTAATATAGTACGCAATTTACCAATGTAATGACCATAAGGCAATAGCAACAGTTTGTGAAAAATAAGATGCTACCATCATTATTTATTTCGTTGGCTTCTCATCAGTTGCATACAGCCTAAACAAAATTATTAAGTTTATGTATAGAATAATTTTAACCTACTTGTAAATGTTGTTACATAACAAAATTATTGGTCAACCAAATAGTTCAAGTCGCCTCAAGTTTTCCGAAGCACAATTGCTATCGAACTACTGAAACTCGATTTATGTGTTCAGGAAGAGGCAGTTATCAATTTTTTTATTTGTCCTCGTAACTGGATGTCCTTATTGTCTCTTTCATTCGATTGCGTAATCACTGGCTTTAACTTCTCCCTACTATGATACAGTGTGACTGTACTTGTCTCTTGTTCCTATAATTCGAGTTGAACTCACCATACTGTTACTCAAATGACTAGTTATTCATCATCTTACTCACCTCTCGTCTTTATTATTCAACTCCACAGGCATTGTACCCAAGTCTTTGATTTTTATATTGCAAAAATATTCATTCAGACATCTATAAAACACAAAATAATCGAGCAAAGAATATTCTTTTCGATAAATTCCTCTTCCAGGCTCTACAATTATTATATATATGTTTATATACACAGAATATTTTAAATTAGTAGTTAATAACAATATTAGCGTTTTTTTAAATAATATCGATTTGTAAAGTATGGTCAATGCTATTGCAGTTCATTAAAGATGCTTAAATTATAATAATAATAAAGATATAACAGCGAATAGAATATCAACTAAAATTAGGGAAATTTCACAAAAATTCTGGATTATTCAAACCTGGATGGCCAAGGTAATGATAATGACTGAACTAACTTCTTTTGGGTGCATAAATTAGGTTTGTTAATATGAATCCCCACAGCCTCAGCAATATTTAGAAGTCGAACTCTTAAAGCGAACATCACCCTGCCTGGTTAAGCAAAGGTCAAACAAAATCTATTCGCAGCGCTATTCTGGCTCATCTTGTGGAGACAGAACACAAGATTGACGTTAATCATGCTTTCAGGGTCATTTACCGCATACCTACGAATCTCAATTTCGCTTTAAGAGTTCGACTTCTAAATATTGCTGAGGCTGTAGGGATTCATATTAATAAGCCTAATTTATGCACCCAAAAGAAGTTAGTTCAGTCATTATCATTACCTTGGCCATCCAGGTTTGAATAATCCAGAATTTTTGTGAAATTTCCCTAATTTTAGTTGATATTCTATTCGCTGTTATATCTTTATTATTATTATAATTTAAGCATCTTTAATGAACTGCAATAGCATTGATCATACTTTACAAATCGATATCATTTTAAAAAAACGCTAATATTGTTATTAACTACTAATTTAAAATATTCTGTGTATATAAACATATATGCATAATTGTAGAGCCTGGAAGAGGAATTTATCGAGAAGAATATTCTTTGCTCGATTATTTTGTCTTTGATTTTTGTTTAAATTTGAACTTTTTGGGTATATATATATATTATCAGCAGGTCGAGTGGTTGTCGTAGTTAACAAAGAAAATTTGTGTGATAATTTAAATGTAGAAATATTTTTTGAAAAATTAATAATAATAATAATAGTGGTTACAAAGTGCATAATCTGATGACGTGACTCCTTAGTAGGATCCAACGACTCTGCACTGAAGACACACTTGAAGGCGAGGAAAGAATACTGTGAGAGAAACTCTGGTTAGAAATAATTATCCAGAGAAGTTAATTAGGAAATATAAAGTGATCAGAATAACAAGATCGATTCTCCAACTTGCCGTTAAGCAGGATGTGCATATTCTACCTACCCTACATGGGTAATCATGAAAGGTTTAGTAGTGTGAAATATTCCCATATTATGAATTAAAAGACAATGTGGACGAAGAATATTCTTTTCAATAATTTCTCTACTTCAGGTTCTTACAATTACAATTATAAAATACAATATTTGTTGTCGTTACAATAATAATGGCCAGTTATGTGGCGGATACATTTTTTAACGTAGAATAAGAGATTAGTAGTTATGCGGTGTCAAAATAAATAGTCGTATTTGTGTGACAAACGCGCTATGGAAATCGATTACAAAATATTGCGAAATGGGAGACAGTTGTGGTGATTAGTCATAATAGATTTGTGGAGCGTGGGGTAGGAAAATTGACAAGTTATCAATTCAAGGTTATAAAAGGTGTCAGGTGAGTGAGTGGCCAGTACAAAGTGGTATGAATTAAAGAGGAGTGAGGAACACTGCGATGAGAGATTCATAATGAAATAACGAACGCGTGAAATGAAACAGGTGGATGCATATATTGAGAAAAGAGATAATATCACTAATAATAAGTCCGGATAGTATAAACGGAAAATTCGATAGTATTGAGAGAATGTTTGCATGAAGGGTATAAATTATGACGATTAATAATAATAATAAATAATAATAATATGCGAAAAAAGAAAAAACCAAAAGGGTTAAGGAGAAGAAACACTCTTGGTGAGAAGAAGAATCATCAATCCAAGTTTGCCCACGGTAGGAACAACGTGTAAGTCCTATTGTAACGACAGAAGACAAGGACCAGGTAACAGATCGTTTACTGAGAAAATCAAGAGATATTTATAAATGTTTATGTACATTATTATTAGCGTTATAGTTAGCAGAGAAGCAACGTCTTCTGATTGGTTGCTTTCTTTCTGAAAGTTATTCTGTACAGCTTGTGACCGTTTCTTAGAAAGTTAAGCCACATATCTGTGAATCGTATTTGCACACGTTAAGTCTGCTGTGATTGGTTGGTGAGTTCCACAAGGTTAAGCTTTATTATTGTTTTTTCTTAAGACCCCGATTCGGGACGTAAACATTGACGTAAATTGCTGTCTACAATTTTGGCTTTCAGCTAGCCCTCACCATACTATGTGTGGTATGGTGACTAGTGATACATACTACTTGTCTGCTTAAGCTTCAGTAGGTGGAGAGGGGTTCGAACTTGTGATTTTGTGGTTGACAAGTCGAATGTCTAAACCAATGTATGCCACGATTCCACAATGTACTGATGTGTTTATGTATCTACTTACATGTTAGGTAGAAGGTTTTCTCACTTTATGCAGGTATATTTACGCTTTTTTTCATTGTTGCTTTTCTCAAAATTAAAGTTTCATTCGTATTATGTTGTTTTAGATATTGATAAATGTTACCGAGTACTCAGTCCATCTGCCGAAATCTGCATTGAGGGGTGTAAGTTACTTGGCTTTATTGATTTTTCATTGTTTATTGTTATTTGTATGTCAGCTTCAAATGTAAACCGTGACATTTAATCTTTGTTTGTTGAAATACAGACAGGATTGAGGTTCAACTTATTTAAAATCTGATGTCTTTATAGGGCTATCTAGGTAGTAACAGTGTTGGTGTCCTGTGACTGCAGAGCCCAGGGGACAGTTGCTTGTGGCCGGTCACACACCTCCTGTTTAAGATGATTTTTTAGACTTGTGGCCGCATCAATATCCTGCCGCTGGCTACGGATCGCCGTAACTCATAATGTACAATTCTAACCCCAACTCTACAGAGCGGAGTGGTGGGGTAGCTGGCCTGCTGGTCATCTAAGGGGAACCCTCTATTGTTGTTACTTCCCTATTTGCCAGCAGTACGACTTCGCCCAACATAGTGTTAACCAGTTGCGATATAATAGTAGTGCGTCGGTGGCACAGTGGTTAGGACTCTCGCCGACCATGCACATGGTCCAGGGTTCGATCCCCTGCCGACCACACTTGATATCTATGGTCGGCCTGCAAATGGGCTACCGATATCCATGCTGAAAATTCCATACTTGTATTGAAAATACTGTGTGGATCAAGCTGTAACCAAGATAAGATAAAGCTAAACCGCTATCCAAACGACCTGTCCGGCATGGTAGGACCAGCAGGAACTCTAGTTCCAATCTGTATAGCTCGTTCGGTCATTGTAATATGCAAGTCTGACCACAACATCTAGGAAGCAGCTGTTGGTCGACTTCCAAATTAAGACATGTTGTGCACAGCTTGCACGACAGTACTTTTAGCTGACATCGGACTAGGTTGGAAAAGAGTTAGTCGTGGTCAGAACAACAACCTAGCATCATCCCATGAAGTCTTCGACACTTGGTTTGAGCCAGTCACATAGGGAGGTGTAGTCTGTGTCTGGTTACGGTCCTCGAGATACCAAGAACCAATATTTGGAGACTACTGGTAATAAGGTTCTAAATCCTCCTCAGTGACACAGATGCATTCTCGCATTGTAATCTTCTATAGTTATAAACCCCTCAAGTTTAACCATGTTACTGTTCTCTCTCCCTGACATTTCTGTCTATTAAAGTTCTCCTTTGAATATCCTTTTTCTCTAACTTATATATGCTAGATGGAGTATGGTAACTTGAATTGGTGCACTTCTGTGAAAACATCCATCTTGAAACTGAGTCAGTCAGTATGATAAATATTGAATAGACAACTGAAGAGGTGTAAGACTGCCCTATTTACGATCTACGGGATAAATTAGCGTGCATACCTCATGTATTCAGTAATATGGGAAAACAGGAATGTAATCCAGTTCTACAACATCATCTTACATTTGATAAGAGTGAATCGCATGCCAAACATCCAAAGATTTCTGCTCATAATGCCAGATGACTGCATTTTATCAGCGTTTTCCCCCAAATGAGGATAATATTATCCGTATACTTTAAGTCGATAAGATTATTTCCTGGTAGTAAGTCAATACAAAAGTCTCTAAAGTCATTTAGGACCATTTTAATTATTAGGCATTTGATGAAATTAAACAGAAATATGGACAGTGGGCATCCCTAACGGACACTACTGGTTGTCATTACCTCAAATGATAACTCTCTGTAATCTCTTACATGACTTCATAAGTTCAAATACGGTGCCTTGATTAGTGCGATATATGCCTTCCCAACACTCCTTTCACAGTCAAACATTGCCACAGCACCTCTGAGTTAACAGAGTTGATTGTGGCCTTTAGATAAAGAAAAATGGTAATTGCTGGACGCTTGTGAGTATACCTCTGTTCCAGAATCTGTCGAAGGGTGAATATATATGATCTATACACCCTCTTCCGAATCTACAGCTTGCCTAGTTCTGCCGGGTTGGTCTACTTATGATCATTGAACCTAAAATATTAGATACCATATTAGTCAAGGTTTTCCGTGTATAATTATCCTAAGGGTGTAGTCGTTTTATTGCCTAGCTTATGCAGAAATTTATCTACTTTAAGGTTGATTTTGTAACGAATCGACACATTTCATAAGGAAAACCATTTAGTAACAGCTTCGATCACCAGTTGACATCAGTTACATAACCATTTAGAAACCATGGAGTATTCAACAACTTTACCGTCTTTGTGTGGGACTCCTCATTCAGGACCCACCTACTGGGGTTCCTAACCCGGGGCCTTCCTACCATTCAACCACTGGGACCCGATGCAATCGCCCATGAATTTCAACTTCTGTCTGTTCACGATATATGTAGCTCAACTGCCAGAAAGTTTCATAGGCGAGTGACTGTTCTTTTCTCTGACTTGCTGGACCCTGCTGGTTACGACTTCTCACTAGAACTCCAGCTAAATTCCTGCATAGAGCTAGTTATCAGGGAGCATCAGATTAGTTTGCCAAGTAATCCACAATGGGAAACTTACGGAATCCTTCGAAGTGAAGACGGGAGTAAGACAAGCTGGCTGCCTACTATCGCCAATGATTTTCCTGATTGCAGTAGATTGGATAATGCGACAGAAGCGGGCAGTGAGGAAACAGGCATAAAATGGACCCTCACGAAAAACTTGGAGGATCTGGACTTCGCTGATGATATTTGTCTGATTTCCCACAAACTGGAAGATATGGAAGTGAAAAGCAACAAGTTGGTGATGGAAGAAGCATCAAAGATAGGACTTCAGGTGAACATAGAGAAAACAGAGGTGATGAAGATTCCTTGGCAACACTACCAACAGCAACAACAACAACAGACAACAATCAGCATAAATGGGAGGAACCTGAAAGAAACAACCTCCCTTACCTACCTGGGAAGCATCGTTTCAACTACAGGTGGAACTGACGAGGATATCAAAGCAAGACAAGCTTTCACTACTCTCAAGTCTGTATGGAGATCAACAGCACTCAGCATGAAAAATAAGATCCGGATTTTCAACTCCAATGTGAAGTCAGTCAGTGCTACTATACGGATCAGAGACTTGCACTGCGCGTCATAAAGAGCATCTCAAACAAACTACAGACCTTCATTAACAGTTGTCTTCGCTCAATACTCAAGATCAAATGGCCAGAAAAGATCAGCAACAGAGAGGGATCTCTGGCAATGAGCGAACCAACCCAGCAGGAACCGATTGTGAAACAAATAGGCAGGAAGAAATGGAGATGGATTGGCTAGTCATACTCTGAGGAAACCATCAAGTGACATCACTAGACAAGCCATTGCTCGAGTGGAACCCGAAAGGGAATCGGCGAGTTGGTCGTCATCAAGGGTGACTTGGAGGAGGTCATGCAGAGAAGAGGAGATGAAAGCATGTGGGCAGACTTGGAGCCAGGTGAAAACTCTAGCAGAGAACCGAACGCAATGGAGACGCGTGGCTGAAGCCCTATGTTCCTCTAGGAATTAAAGTAAATAATAATAATCAGATTAGTTGTCAAGTGTTGGTGTGCAGGGATTTGATTGGTCACAGCTTTGGACAAAATAACTGTCCAGTACTTCCAGGTTTTCCAGTGTTTCTCTAACTGTTGTCAACTCGTGATTAAACCTGTAACCAGTCAAATCCCTGCTAAGCAACACTTCATAAAAACCGCTATTAGCAATCGTCCTACTTTGGTGAGTCTTTATCAGTTTGAAACTAGGACTACTTGAGGTATCGCATCGTGGACTTCAGATTGGGAGATGAGTACAGCACTAGTTAACCAACTCCTCCAGATTTGTGATGCATACTCATTGCTATTGAGTGTATGCTTAAGTACCTTTCCCTCTAAAACCGATTCACGTGACTTCGCTTGTTATAACTCCACAGTTTCAAGGTTAAGCAATCGATTGACAATCACGAATTTCCCCTTTGTTAAAAAGCATGAGACCATTGGTGATCTAGTCACCTTGTCGCAAACAAGTCTTCAAACTACACTGTCTAATTAGGTAATTCACTTTACTTGATGACAAGTGCCAACAACACAGGAAACCTTGATCCGGAGTATCCTGTTGATTGCCTCTCAATCATTCTTATTTTATTATCACTCTACCGTCTAATATCATCAAATCACTCTACCACTCTTCATTAATAACAGTGCGTTTTATACAGATTTTATAAAAAAAATCACTTTATCGTCTTTCCACTAGTTCTTGTCCACTCTACACAACTATATTGATTGGTCATTTTCTCGCACTTATTACATCATGCCAACTTTTGCCCCATTTTTAATTTCCAATGAGTCACCTTTTCTAGATTACACCTTGAGTTATGTAATACGATCTTGAGGACAAATTCTACCAGTATTTGATTGGTCTTATGGCTTCTTTATTAAATATAATTACGACTGTACAGCTTATGGTTGACAGGCACATGGACTCATGTGAAAAATGGGCCAAATCCACTTTATCTGACTCACAGCACCCTCTTCACTCACAACCTTCCCCTTGCATCTCATCAGGCAAAACTAGAAGCCTACATATAGAAAACTATGTGCTCGCACCAGCAAGCAAGTACAAAAACTCAACCATACCCTACTTAGCTCGTGTTCTGTGCGATAAAGAAAGCATTAGGCTTGACATCTATAACTTATTAAATAGTCAGTAGAACAACTGGATCTCGTCTTTCCATCTCATATCATTTATAGGTACAACGTTTTCTTTCTTTCTTTTCCTTTTCTCTCTCTTTTTTCTCTTTTTTCCGTTATGTGCTGCTTTGTTTCTTTCTTCCGCTTACGCCAGTAAATATGATAGCACCTAATTTTCTAACACCTTCAAACACTCTGTTCAACTTTGGCTTTGCTACCGACATGCCAATATGTTGTTGTCATAATGAACTGAGATTTCCTTAATTTATGTAGAATTCTATTTATTGACTAATGTACTAACTGGATGGAATACTGTAGTAAAAATGCTGAGAATTCCATTCTGTATCACAAGTACTGTTTTGGAATAAAGCAAATTATTATTATTATTATTAAAAGAAGATTTTCTTCACTGGTTACATCTTTTACTTATGACTCAGTGGGGGTTATATTTCGTTCATCGAATTGATTTTTTTCTCTGAAATGGTAATTGTTAGGTGATAGTGTGTTCTCTGTAATTTGAAATGCATTTGTCTATCCTACCTAATAATGCAAATTCCGTCTACTTTCCTCCTCACTATCATTATTTTTTTTTCTATCAGTATGGGAAGCCTGGACGAAGTAAAAGACGACGTGAACAACGTTTACGAAGTATGCAACGAAGACAGCTTGAAATGAATACAAGTGAAAATCAGCTTCAAAATGGTAATCACACCTTTTTTTTATTCACAGGTTGTTGAGCTTCTTATAGGGATAAAAGATTCCAAGTGTGATCACGTACTGATGTCAGTTAGAGAAAACCGTTGAAAACCAGGGACTACTGAACAGATAATTTGTTCTAGCTTGACACACTTCTGTAGTATGCACCTACAACCTCTCCGGGGATCAAACCCAAAACCTTTGGGCTACAAAGTCAACCTTGTTAAACATCCCCAGCCATTTGGGCTGGAGTACAATGGCCCATGAATTCTAACTCCTGTTAATTGGCGATTTTACTGCGACCACTAGGCAATGTCACCGGCGAGTATTTGTCCTTACATTCGACCTAATGTCCCCAACTGATCACGAATTTTCACTAGAATTCCAGGCAACTTTGTTCTAATATCAATCCGTAATCCCTTTTTTGTGTATGTCAGCATGTATTGTTCTGAATTGTGGTTTAGTTGTTTGATTATCTTAGTTGCCTTGAACAAATTTCTCTCCTCTACTCGCGGACTATATATGAGGTACACTTATTACTGTACGAGGGCTGATGACACTTTCCCCAATGACCTTTCAACCTGTAGTAAGTAGAGTGGGATTTGAACCAAAGACCCATCAGTTGAAAGTCGAGTTCTGTTATGGATGTTACCACTTTTATATTTTGCGGTAACATTGAGATTGAAATAGAGACGTTGAGTGGGACACAGACGCACTGATCATGATCACGTACAATAGCTACCTGTTACCTCCAGTCCGCACTATTTAGACGAGAACACAACAATGTAAGCCGGAAAGTATATTTCAGTAGGTTTTACACAATAATTTATAATTCAAAAAATCATCAAGTATATGTCGAACAGTCTACAATCGTGATCAACGGAATAGTGGGTGTTATTTTACGTAGGCCAATATTCTGATTGGTTTATTTTGCAGACTGACCTTGATCACCATATCAACATTAAAGGATAATAAACTGTTTATCTGTCTACATATCCAATTCTTTGTTAAACAGAAATTTAGGTTGACACATTTCTGTGTTGACTTGTAAGTCGGTCACTCAATCAGGCAGATGGTAGACTAGTTACAAACTGGACTCTCAATCACCTAGACGATGTTGGTAAAAAAATTTAAAAAAAAAAGAGAACGAAAACAGATATTTGCAGACTATGGAGTACTGTTTTAGTATTCTGATCGATGTAGGGATATAGAAATATTCTGTACATTTTAAAATTAAAATTGCTCATTCATTGAACAGGAGTATAACTTAGCAGTGTGTGCAGGATAAACCACCAGATCTACCGTTTCATGTATTCTGCTACGGAGATGACTGTGTCGGGCTTTTTAGGCGTTTATATCGGAAACGTGTAAAGAAAACACCACTCGTGAACTTCTTCCTGAAATCTTAAACAATAAAATTGAATTAGATAAATATTGACGGGTGTGTAAAGAGTTGGAATAGTCTTGCAAACTCGCGAATCAATCGAGGTAAAAATTCATGAGTCACTGAATGAATTCTAACCCCCCCCCCCCCCCTTAATGGCTGAATGATCAACAAATTGGTCTCTCAGTGTGGAGGCTCTGGTTTCCATCACTAGTCATAAGTGCACAATGATGAACATCTATCCTCCGATCCTTGGTTTCCAATGATTCCCTAGCAGTGATTTTTATCAAATTCCCTACAAAACCCTGAATTGAAATATTGAAACAATTCAAAATGCATTATAACTTTCCACATGGTGATCGATATCCAGTCTGGAAATGAACCAATTCACTTGTTCCTGTGCAGCTGAGTACATAGGCCATAACAGCAGCACATTGTCTATACGTGACTATGAACACTTACCAGCACGGTTGTCAAAAGGGAGACGTAAAACAGTCAACAGCTCAATTCTGGAGTATTTTATTACTTCTGGTCAAGCGGGATCAGCAGATACTTCTTTCAGAGTCACATATATAAAGTACTACCAAGTGATTCGAAAGGATTTCGCCTACATCTGCTTCATGCAGCCGAAGCTTTAGAAATCCTTAAGAAGAAATCTGAACTTTGTGCTCAGAAACATTTCATCCAGCCTCTTTTACTACCATAGCCTTAGTACTACTGTTTTCTTAAATTCTCTTATCAACTATTTCCAGACGATTATTCAACTCTCTTGATTACGTAAGACTGTTCTTAATTTTCCAAGCATAGTCATTACGGCAAGTCTAAAGAATAGGAGCCCAAACAGAAACGACCTTATTTTGATTTGACACTAGTAACTAGTGGGATGCGTCTAGTCCTCTCTTTGGTGCAGACTGAATTTTATCAGTCAGGTTGTAATGTGGCCACCATTCTAGGTAGCTCGCCATCACGGTGTACATAGTTTGTGATGATATTAGGTGGTTGGAGGCAATCGGCAGGAAGCCTTGGACCTAGGTTTCGTGCTAGTTGGCACTCGTCAGCAAGGCGTATCTGCAACCTTGAAGGAACTCATGTCCCTTCTGAGATTCGAACCCGCGTCACCCAGTGCTGCAGTCAGAGACGTTACCACTGAGCTATTCGGGCTCGCGATTGACCTCCTGTAGGACTGTAGTGGATATTTTGATTTGACACTAGTAACTAGTGGGATGCGTCTAGTCCTCTCTTTGGTGCAGACTGAATTTTATCAGTCAGGTTGTAATGTGGCCACCATTCTAGGTAGCTCGCCATCACGGTGTACATAGTTTGTGATGATATTAGGTGGTTGGAGGCAATCGGCAGGAAGCCTTGGACCTAGGTTTCGTGCTAGTTGGCACTCGTCAGCAAGGCGTATCTGCAACCTTGAAGGAACTCATGTCCCTTCTGAGATTCGAACCCGCGTCACCCAGTGCTGCAGTCAGAGACGTTACCACTGAGCTATTCGGGCTCGCGATTGACCTCCTGTAGGACTGTAGTGGATATTTTGATTTGACACTAGTAACTAGTGGGATGCGTCTAGTCCTCTCTTTGGTGCAGACTGAATTTTATCAGTCAGGTTGTAATGTGGCCACCATTCTAGGTAGCTCGCCATCACGGTGTACATAGTTTGTGATGATATTAGGTGGTTGGAGGCAATCGGCAGGAAGCCTTGGACCTAGGTTTCGTGCTAGTTGGCACTCGTCAGCAAGGCGTATCTGCAACCTTGAAGGAACTCATGTCCCTTCTGAGATTCGAACCCGCGTCACCCAGTGCTGCAGTCAGAGACGTTACCACTGAGCTATTCGGGCTCGCGATTGACCTCCTGTAGGACTGTAGTGGATATTTTGATTTGACACTAGTAACTAGTGGGATGCGTCTAGTCCTCTCTTTGGTGCAGACTGAATTTTATCAGTCAGGTTGTAATGTGGCCACCATTCTAGGTAGCTCGCCATCACGGTGTACATAGTTTGTGATGATATTAGGTGGTTGGAGGCAATCGGCAGGAAGCCTTGGACCTAGGTTTCGTGCTAGTTGGCACTCGTCAGCAAGGCGTATCTGCAACCTTGAAGGAACTCATGTCCCTTCTGAGATTCGAACCCGCGTCACCCAGTGCTGCAGTCAGAGACGTTACCACTGAGCTATTCGGGCTCGCGATTGACCTCCTGTAGGACTGTAGTGGATATTTTGATTTGACACTAGTAACTAGTGGGATGCGTCTAGTCCTCTCTTTGGTGCAGACTGAATTTTATCAGTCAGGTTGTAATGTGGCCACCATTCTAGGTAGCTCGCCATCACGGTGTACATAGTTTGTGATGATATTAGGTGGTTGGAGGCAATCGGCAGGAAGCCTTGGACCTAGGTTTCGTGCTAGTTGGCACTCGTCAGCAAGGCGTATCTGCAACCTTGAAGGAACTCATGTCCCTTCTGAGATTCGAACCCGCGTCACCCAGTGCTGCAGTCAGAGACGTTACCACTGAGCTATTCGGGCTCGCGATTGACCTCCTGTAGGACTGTAGTGGATATTTTGATTTGACACTAGTAACTAGTGGGATGCGTCTAGTCCTCTCTTTGGTGCAGACTGAATTTTATCAGTCAGGTTGTAATGTGGCCACCATTCTAGGTAGCTCGCCATCACGGTGTACATAGTTTGTGATGATATTAGGTGGTTGGAGGCAATCGGCAGGAAGCCTTGGACCTAGGTTTCGTGCTAGTTGGCACTCGTCAGCAAGGCGTATCTGCAACCTTGAAGGAACTCATGTCCCTTCTGAGATTCGAACCCGCGTCACCCAGTGCTGCAGTCAGAGACGTTACCACTGAGCTATTCGGGCTCGCGATTGACCTCCTGTAGGACTGTAGTGGATATTTTGATTTGACACTAGTAACTAGTGGGATGCGTCTAGTCCTCTCTTTGGTGCAGACTGAATTTTATCAGTCAGGTTGTAATGTGGCCACCATTCTAGGTAGCTCGCCATCACGGTGTACATAGTTTGTGATGATATTAGGTGGTTGGAGGCAATCGGCAGGAAGCCTTGGACCTAGGTTTCGTGCTAGTTGGCACTCGTCAGCAAGGCGTATCTGCAACCTTGAAGGAACTCATGTCCCTTCTGAGATTCGAACCCGCGTCACCCAGTGCTGCAGTCAGAGACGTTACCACTGAGCTATTCGGGCTCGCGATTGACCTCCTGTAGGACTGTAGTGGATATTTTGATTTGACACTAGTAACTAGTGGGATGCGTCTAGTCCTCTCTTTGGTGCAGACTGAATTTTATCAGTCAGGTTGTAATGTGGCCACCATTCTAGGTAGCTCGCCATCACGGTGTACATAGTTTGTGATGATATTAGGTGGTTGGAGGCAATCGGCAGGAAGCCTTGGACCTAGGTTTCGTGCTAGTTGGCACTCGTCAGCAAGGCGTATCTGCAACCTTGAAGGAACTCATGTCCCTTCTGAGATTCGAACCCGCGTCACCCAGTGCTGCAGTCAGAGACGTTACCACTGAGCTATTCGGGCTCGCGATTGACCTCCTGTAGGACTGTAGTGGATATTTTGATTTGACACTAGTAACTAGTGGGATGCGTCTAGTCCTCTCTT